TCACGATACGTATATGCACGTTAAAATATTTTTATATTCCCTGTATTTTTGACTAAAATGGAGTATTACACGAAAAGTAAAAAACGTTAAAAGATCCATTCTTATCTTAAAAGTTAGGTAGAAATTTATTTTTTAGCATCTTTATATTAAAAAGTCATTCGTTTTTATGTATTGAGTAACGAAACTGTTTCAAATTACAATTGGTTGAGAGAAATTTCTTCTAATTTAGCGATTAGTATGAAAAAGTACATGAGAACATAGACATGTTATACGTATAACAAATGAGATCTATTGGATGATAATTTTGGTGTGGATTACGCGTGTCAACAGCCCTGACGAAGTTAAATGTGCGAACAATTACTATGCGGTGGGAAAATCCCGCTTACGGGTTCCCAAAACATATTTTATTGTCCTGTCAACATTGAATATCATCTTAATAATGTTTCTGGATGATTTCTGCTTTAGAAAAGCCTACGGAATACACTACTGTGTAGCAAATTCGTGCCAGATAAAGAATTTTTTGTAAGAATGTAAAAGCATGCTTGGAGGATTGTTTTTAAACTTTGATGATCAATTAAGTACCATAAATGATTATAAGCATTAATAAACTCGGGATACTCTCATCTAATTTGAATGAACCTTCTGACGTTCTTACTTTTTATGTATTACTTTATTTTAGCCAAAAATCGTGCGTTTTTAAAAAAACTCACATTTTTCAGAAACTGAGGACGATAGAGCAATTTTGATTACTGATTCTTATGCAAGAAAGTAAACTGTACAAAAATCACCTAATGGATATGTGGTTCACCCCACAGTGGTTAGGTTTTTCATCGTCTTGTTCTTGTGCCTTCCGTAATATTCTAGTGACCGTCTTGCTATGTTATGTAACGGGTAGAAGGGACGTAAGGAAGGGATGTGTTTCATCCCGAGCCCACTAGTGGACTCGTTAGTAAAGCTATCTAGCAGACCCTACCTTAGATAGAGGATACTTAGGTAGGCTAGGAACTTGTGTTAATGTCAGTCAAGGATTCACCGAAGACTTAGGAGAAAACCTTGAACCTCCGTTTTTCCATCTAGCGGTGACGATGTGAACGTTGGTCGCTACAGATATTACAGATTAGAGAAAAAGTTGAAATTTGTTGGACATCTCTGCAAATATTTATGATTTCGCAAAAGAGCGAAGGAGGGATTTGATTTGATTTGATTTGTTTGCAGAAATGATATCCCGGGTTAGGAAGCTGAGGTATCGTCATTATTAAAAATTCTGGTATGCATAATATATCTGTAGTGTAAAACGATATTCTTTGATCACCAAAATAAAAATGTAGTACAGTTTGAAAAATAAGACAGGTCAATTTTAGATGGGATACTCAGTAGCGTCTGAGCTTGAATGTTACTGTGGGTCTTCGGATATTCGACACATGACGACGTCTACTACTACTAACAAAAAGATTATGTTACCTAGGTACTATGCGTTGCTAAAAAGAAGTCCGTTAAGCGAAACGTAGAACCGAACCCCATGAACCCATCCTTTCTAACGTTATCGCAGAAGCAGAGTAAACGTGTTTACTTTATTGGCAGAAATGATCCCTTCCTATTAGCCTCGTCAGATAGCACCATGTGACAAAGAAAGCGAACGGAATAATGGAGACAAAGTGAGACAGACTCAATAAATAGATGCAAGAGCGTAGATCCATCCCTAAAGCATTAACTTCAGATTCTTCCGATAAATGTTCATTTCCTAATTTTATTTGACTATACTTATATTTCATACACGTATTAATCCTTTGCACTCGACGATTTTTTGGTTAAGGAAGGCTACGAGTTGAAAAATTTTCTGCTATAAGGCGGATGATATTTTTTGAGCAGTAAATAAGAAATCATATAATAATTAACACGTAGGATTATTTAATTTCGATATCTCGCACACTGCTACATTATTTTAAATTTGATGTATTAATTAATATCGAGCTTTGAAATTTCATCAAATAACGACTGAAGGGCGCCTCTCGAGTGCAGAGGGTTAGATATGTGTTTAGTATTTATGAAGTATAAGTGAAAATAATCATATTTTGCTCGTGCAGTATTGCTCTCATGTTCACAAGCGTACAATGTGTTATTTGAGTATAGGAATTTTACGGATATCTTATGCCTATGTTAACGTATAACGTTACTGAACCTGAAGGTACTGGTTTCGGTAGTGTCGCAAAAGAATGGGGACTACAAGCGAGCATATTAGGCGGAGCAAGTAGAATACCTCCCTTGTCCCTGTGCCAAAACAGCGGACTTCTTCTCTGCAATGCATAGTATATCAGAGATTGTTCCAGAAAGTACTTAAAGGATGTTCCAAAATTCACGCAAGATTAAAATTTTGCGCCATTTGTACGCAAACAAAGGAAAATGACAGCGTGACAATTGACAGTTCAGGGTTATTAAAATTGGAGCGCTACACGAAAGAACAATGCGTCTTCATTGTTGAGCAACATTTACAGTTTTTAATTAAAAACCTGTGTTTTCTACCAAAATTACTTCTTGTCTGAATTTTAGGACACCCAATATCTCCGATCGGCATGAAATTTTGAAAGAGAGGGGTCGAGGGATCCCAAATATAAAATATTAGTTTCAGGTATTTAATAATTTCCGACATATTAATAAAAATATATTGCTACCGATACATTAAATTAAGATAAGATTGATTGATTTAAGAATGTTTATGTGAAATCGTATTTTTGTGCAAGATATATGAGAATTATATGTCATGACCATTAAAGCACGATAGTACACTTTCAAATCGATGGTGTGTTCAGAAAGTAGTCACAAAATTGTCTTCAAGCATGATTTTTCAAGATTACATTTTTTTTCTATCGCATCATATTTTACTGGTTATGAGGAGAAAATTTCTGGAAGGAGAACCATGGGTATCAAATAAATCATTCTCTCAAAAAATTAACCATAAATATTTTAATTTATCGCGCAGAGACTAAATTCTTCTAAATTTTGTTCTAAATTTCTAAATTCTACGCGAATGTTTTTCGTTTTACGTATCTTTTGCCGCCGTTCAAAATTGTAAAACTTTCTAAAGAATTTCTAAATTCTACTTTCTCAAAAAGGAACTGCCATTCGAACAAATTTTATTTTACATTTTCAATTTGTTTTTACATGGAATTACTCCAGTTTGGATTATACCATTCATTTACAGGTACCCTGTTTTTGCATTTAGATAAATTAGAAAATTAATTACAACGCAATTATAAGCTCAATGCAACGATTCAATTTCTTCTTACTTTCAAACTAGTTCCGAAATTTTACATTATTGTAAAATAAATAGATGTAATACGAAATAAGTGAAAATAATAAGAAATAAGTTAATTTAAAAAAAATGATTGATTTAGACTACTTTCTATAATTACCACTAGGTACGATTAAGCCATCTACAGGTCCAAGTGGTTACTTGCATTTTTTGAATTTTCAAAATTTTGGCGCCAAGACACCTAAGCTTAACTTTTTAAATTTAAAATAAATTTTTTCCTCTTTCTTTTTCCAGAGTTCAACGATTTGGCAAATGAGTGATTTAATTATGCTTCGGTAGAATGTTATATCACACTTAAATGGAGTAAACGAACGCTTTGTTTGTCAGGATATAATCGTGGAATCAACGGAGATCGGAGACAGGAAAACGAAATGCGAGCATTCCAAAGCGGATCATTCCAACTCTTTAGTATTCTTCGCGCCACGTGCTTACATGACGGAAACGCTACACTTACGACTACGACTAAAACCACATGGAATTACGCAACAGAGAAAGCACAACAATTTTGAGTTGGAAGAATTATTGTCCGAATTGCTTTGTTTTCTTTATATACTTAAAATTTATCATACGATCATATACTCGACCTTTATTTTCTTCTTCTTTAACGAGAGATAACATTGTGACGTTGTATTTATTAATTTCAAAAATTTTAAGATACGATATTAAAAAAGCGATTCATATAAATTATATAATTCTTTTATTATTTAAAAGTATTAATGGTTATGTTAACTGAACAATGAGAAGGAAATCATTTGTAACTGTAACGGACACTTTTGTATAAAAATAATAAACGAATTACAAGTTGTTTAAATAATGGCTATTCTAATGAAGAGTTTGGAATGGTATTTTCACGCGTGTGTCCCTTTTGCATCAAATGCCTTAATTTCTATGTGATTTACAGATTACATTAGTTTGTATCATATTTTATTATTTATATTGCATTATTTATATTATTTTATATTAACAAGCATTAGTAATTATACAAATTACCAATTAAATAAGAATGAATGGATATTTATAATAATTTATTTTTTTAATAACGATGTACGAGATTTATTAATAACTCTTATTTATTTATTCTTATATATTTATTAATAACTCTTATTTTCTCGCATTTTATAATTTGCATTAGATAGTGGTTCCTATTTTTTAGAGATGTATTTAGTTGTTTCAGATATTAGCTGTAATTTTATTTGAGATTAAAATTTTCTATAATTTTTATCATATAAAATCCTGTATTATAATTAAAGGATCATATCCCATAAGAGGAGTCAAATTTTGATATTGTTCATTAGAAAATATGCCTCGAGAAATGAACACTCTGGTTACTTTCTTAATTTTAAATAAAACGTAAATATTAAAATTTAATAAATATCCAATTTATTTGATCCCAAATAACATGTTATTCGTTATAAATTTCTATACATTTGTTATCAGAGATAGCAGTTCTCGATACAATTTGAACGAATAATGAAAGTGTTTGCTGGAATTTCGAAGGTGGTTCAATGTGCAACAGTTAGAGAATTAAAAACGAGAGCGAAACTTTTGCTGCTGGGTCGGAAGCGTGTCACGTACGCACCTCCGAAGCTGTTTGCGATGCATCGAGGGCTGCGATGAGCATCGATTCACGTACACCACGAATGACAACCCTGTGCTACCTATAAATACGTTTGTCAGTGGAAACCGAACAGTCAGTTTCCTTCTAGACTTTCATTCAATTGTAGGATTATCCCAAAAGCAAATCAACATGGCTATTAAGGTGAGAATACAGTAGTAATTGAATAATTGATGAACTAATTTCACAACTTTTATCAAAAGTTCGTTCTTTTTCTTTGAAAAAATTGATTTTTATTTTATCAAAAGAAAAATCAATTGTTAATACATATACATATATAGATACATAAATACACACACACACACACACACATATATATATAGTTAAAAAAATAATTAATAGAAATATATACAAATTACATCGTTAGTTCATGTCAAAATAAGTGATGTTACTACTTGTATGGCCAAGCACTATTATTTTATTGTATATGACATTATACATAATATAAACATAATTATGTTACATGACATTCTACTATTTTTCTTTTTGTGAATAATTTTGGTTAATTAAAATTAATAAGTAAGGTAGAGCGACATAAACTGATAATTATTATAAATTATATAAATAAAAATACTGATAAAAATTTTAAAGATACGAGTTAGAATATATGAGAGTAATAAAAAATATTTTGCACATTGTGCATAGTCATTTCAAGAAAAATACAATCGCAATAGTTTTGTAAGTTACAAAAAGGTATCATTAATCACACATTATCACATTTTCATGTTCTATAGGATGTCCAAAGAAGAATGGTATATTTGAATAAGAGATGATAACACAAGCAAAGATAAGACAAAAGCAAAAATAATCAAATTTTTATGGTTGACACTTTGTTTCCAAAAAAGTCGAATTTAAAAAATTCGTCGAGTGCATTTTCGAGTAACTTTTGATAAAATGCATTCAATGTGATTACCGACAGAGTTTAGTCGACTCATTGGAATCTCGATTTTCTCAAAAGCAAGCCTCTGATGAAAAGGTGTTATTCTATATTTCCGACTTACCTTTGCTAGTAAAATAACATTTGCTTAAACGTGCAATTTTCATTCCATTATTAGTTAATAAAATGCACGTACAATTAATAAACATTCAAACTCGATTTTCTTAAATACACTTTATCTTCTTTTTTCACTTATTTTTGCTCGTAGAAATAATCTTTCTTCCTGATTGCATCGTCTATCCTAGGATATCCTCTATAATAATTACTTTACTTAAAATTTGTATTTAATTTCTAGTTATTTTATTATTCTATTTTTCATACTTTCCTATTACGCTATATTTATTGTACTTTTTTATTGCATTCCAGCAAGTAATTATTGTGTTGGCGATTGCCACATTCGCGACATGTAAGGGTGCTGCAGTTTTACCGGCAGTTCCACTGGCCAAACTCACACCCATAAATCCAGCAGTTAATTATGATCCCCATCCACAATACACTTACGCCTACGACGTTCAGGACAGTTTGACTGGAGATTCGAAATCCCAGCAAGAGACCAGAAATGGTGATATAGTCAGCGGCAGCTACAGTTTCATTGAAGCTGATGGCACCAGAAGGATCGTTGAATATACAGCGGACCCTGTGAATGGATTCAACGCTGTTGTCCATAGAGAACCAGTGGCTATCATTAAGCCTGCCCTGAAGGTCGCTCCGATTGCTTTTCACCCGTAGATAATTTCAGCCTATTCATTGCTTATGGCCTACATTCACTGCTGCTCACTAGAGAAAAAAGAATAGGACTATTTTCATGGTACATGGAATTTGTTAATAGAATTTTAGCTTTTATCCATTTTGTCATTTTAACTTGATATCATGCAGGATAGAATATTAAATTGGTACTCATATAACAGAAGAATCATTCGTCGTATATGAAATTTATCATTTGGACAATGGTCACGATTTTTGCGCCATTTTTGATGTTATTTAAGTTATGTATTACTCAACTCAATATTTGTCGCTTATAATAGGAAAAGGAATTCCTATTTGCCGTTTTATACTACTTGCTACGTAGCTAGTCATATCACATTGTACATACTGCAATCATTTTGTAATGAAACGTTTATATTAAAATCCTTTGTAAAATATGTGAGTGTAATTACTACTATTTCCCATTTCCTTGGTTATACTTTCATATTTTATATTTTAATTAAAGTCAAAATTAAAGTTGTTACTTTTTTTTAAATTGCTATTTTGCACTAATATTAATTAACAAATTATATTTCTATAAATTAAAAAAATATATTTTGTATACAATAGTATAAATTAAAAGATTATTTTCTCACGTTTTTCATTTATTTTATTTTATTTATGTTGTTATAATATTTTCAATGTCATAATTTTTATTGCATATCGTTATACCATAGACATCAATAATTTTTATTTATGTTATTAAAATTATTCATTTTGCAATATTTGTATATCGAAATATATTATTATTTACAAAATATACATTTATCATAAGTGAAATACTTATAAAATTTAATTTCTTTTTTAATTTTATTCTTTCGATAGTACTATATATTCGCAAGAAATTGCACTTGTCTATTTTTATATAATTTATATAAATATACATTTAAGATAGGTATTTTTATTTTTATAAATCTTTACCTTTACGAACTGAAAAATGAAGTAGAATGTCCAGTTTCAAGTTATTAACGACATTCTGTAATGTAGTTACAAAATTATTACATGTATTATTATGAAATATGAAATACTATTCGTGACTACGCATAAAGAAATACTTATAGAGTCCACAAAAAATAAAGCATCAAAACGTGCTAAAAATTTCGTTCTTTAATAAGTTTAATGTAGGAAAGAATCACGTAGAATTATTTAAATTTATTGTTTGAGCGATAATTATATAAACTTTTATATTTTATGAATATATATAACAAATATTTCTTTGAAGCACATAAATAGTTTTAATATAACTATGGAATTTTTTATTGTTACTTACTTTAATATAAGTACGATGCAATTTAGTGTGGTAAAAAAGGAACTACAGTAATGCTCGGTTAAATTGTTATGGATCATCCTCACTTTTCCCCAGCGACGAATATCATAAAAATAATCGTGAAGTTAAGCAATAAAAGTTGAAAGGTTGTCATTTGATTGGTTATGGTAGGTTAGTGTTAAGGTGCATTCACACTTGTTGTGTACTTCTAGTATACACCTCCTATAAATATAGCTTTACATTTCAAATTCACAATGCAGTCAGTCATAATAATATATTATACGTATGTAATTACTTTATCATATTATATCAAAATAATGATCATGGTACAATGTAATTTAGTTTATTTATTACAGAAGAATTCTAGTTATTTTATTAATTTATTCTAATTTATATTTATGTGGGAACAACAAAGTAGAATGAAGCGTTTCATAATATAATAAACTTTCATTTATTATACTTATATAACGTAGTTGTCAGTAGAGAAATTAACGTAATAAAATAAGTATTATTATTAGATCGAAATAATCGATAATTTATGAAAATGTTCAATTTCTTTTGAATTTCTTGGAACTGTAGTGATTTGTGAATACTTATATTTTTATAAGAATTTCATTTTATGTAATACAATGTTCTAAAAATACTTTTCAAAAATAGAATCGTGTGATTATTTTATTAATTAAATATACTAATATATGAGTATTATAAGTATAACTTTATTTACATATTTAAAAAATATATATTTAATAGCAATTCAAAAATTGTAACCTAATATGCACATACGTGTAGCGTATAATAAATAGGGTTCTAACAATAAAGAACGAATTGACTACAAACAACAGCCATTGTCGTAATGCTTTCACAATAGTAGATTGCGAAAGAAAGTTCGACGAATTATAGATTACCCATTGTCTTGCACAAATAGCCTTGTTATACAAATTTAAGGAATAGCAGACTAGAATAAACATAACCTTTCTAAAAATGACATGCGCACTGACGCCTTTCAGATTAATTATGTATTAAGCATAAAATATGTACAAGTATACAATACACATATCAAGCAAAAGAGCACACTTGTTAATTTGGATATTACAAATCAAATTAGAGAAGTGTTCCTCTACACGTATTTACGTTCGACTCTGATATCGCTCTGGAAATTTATAATGAATGTACTGACGTGTGAAAATATAGGCATTGAGCAAGGAAAGAAAAGACACAATAAGCGTATACATAGAATCCACTCCCTTTCGTAATTTCGTCGGATAACCTCGAATTGACTTTCTTCGATGTATCAGCATACAAATGATACGCACACTCACACTTCATTTTCACTTAAAATTCAGCAATCGTGTGTCAAATTTAAAACAACTTCGACTGACACATATCAAACAAAAATTAGTTTTTTAGTGTATTATTGACTGTTATTACTATATCATTATTGGTATATACTGATTTTATATTATAGATCTTTACAAGTTTTTACAATATCATGTACATACATAATAACTTTATACATAATAACTTAATGATGAAAACAACAGATAAAATATAAATTTATAAGATATTAAATAAAATTTACAAATGTTCTATTTCTGTATAAAACATTTATTTTATAAAATACATTTTATTTATTACATTGAAAATATATGAGAAGTAAAGAACATGTCAAAATATTGATTTTTTAATGAATATAACAAATATCTTTATATTAAATAAATTTTTAAGAAAATTGATATTTTTATGAAATTCTCGTATCTTTTTGAGAATATGAAAAATATTTAACTAAGTTAAAAATGTTTAAAAAAGAATAAGTCTGTAACTATCTTTTTCACATATCGTAATCATCGTGATAGCAAATATATAACTAGTGTAGTTTCAAAGTATGGCAACGCGAACCAAATATTATTGATAACTTACATATAATATTGTAAATTTCGTATATTTTAAATATGGTAAATGTGGTATATTTTGTAATCTTTTAGAATTATATTTGTACAAATCATTGTACGAATATTTTTGCGATACAAAATAAGTATTTCTTAATTTTTTAAATCTGTATCCTTTTATATGAATAAATTTGATATTATTCTTTTTTAATCTAAAATTGACACTTATTTGATACTTATTCGGTTTGTTAAAATAAAATATAAACAATTCGGTGATAATAAAGAACTTAATGAAACTACACGATGTACATATTGAACTAAATTCTGTACGTTTTGATATTGCACGAATACAACCCTTTTACCGGAATTTTAAAACCGGAAATGAAATGGAAACTAAGAACCGAATGTTTATAGCGACATATTTTTTCAATAATAAGAAACAGTATTCGTAACTTTTAGTAATTAATTTTATTTTGAAATGGAACATACACATTGTTATCCCTAAAAATCTTAGAAATATTAATCTGCATAAAAATTATTTTATTATTTATATTATTTTCAAATTAAGTTTCTCAGTCTTTTCTCCCAGAATACTGTAATTTTGAGTTAGGATATACTTCAGACATACAGTAGTTACTAAAAATTGCTTCATTATACTTACTTTATTATAATATTAAACGTAACCCCTTATATAAATATATTAGGATATCTTTTATGATTCACTTTTATTATTTCTTTTTTTATAATTTTATTTTATACTTCATTTTCTTTTTATTCGTGACTTTTTAATACGTTTTAGTCAAGTTTTCACCGTGATTTAACACATTCTGTTTCGTTACACGACTTTTTAAATATGTTTTATTCATATTTGCACGATTTGTTAAATACATTTTGCTTATTTTTATCTTCAAATCCGGGAAACCTGTAAATATTCAAAAATGTTATTGAATGCAATTCTGTATTTCAAACTGTTTTTTCTATTATTAGCTTTAGTTTAACACAAGTTTTATGCTTTGTTGCAAATCAAATATTTTGTTACTTTTTATGATAATCGTGTAACTATCATCCACCGTGTAAAAAGAGTCGTATGTATACAACACATATTTTAGTTCTTAAAATAATATATTAAATTTCTTAGAACAATCATTTCATTACTGAATATTGTCTATAACTTTATTTAAAAATTACTTTTAGAAAAATATATCAAATTTATAATTTGCCCACGAACCCTTAATAGTTATTATGTGTATATCAAGATGTAAGTAAGGGAAGATATATCATGAAATATATTTGTGAAATGTATTGCTTAAAATATTTTGTATTTTGTAAATTATCTTTGTAATAATGATTGTGATTAAAAATAAAACTTTTATTTGATGAATAGAGATATTCTTTTCTATGTTATAAAAAGTGAGGGTGTTCTAACCCATAGTTGCATAATTTTTATGCAATTATTTTTGTATCAATATTTAATTTTTAATTTTAAAAAAGTTTTAAACTTAATAAAAGTTTAAAAATATTTTGTTATAAAGCGATCGTCTTCTTGTAGTAGAAATAGCTAATATCAGTGCCTGCTATAAACTTCAGTTTCCTTTACTTTTGAAGTTTTCAATTTTAAAAATAAAATTTAAAATTTTTAATTTCACAAAAATGAAATTTTGAAAAAAAGAGGAAAATATATAAAACCGAGGAGCTATAAATAATTCATTTTTAAATTATAAAAGCGTTAAATTAGCAATTTAATTAAAGTCATAATTTAAGTGATTTCACGTCAAAGTTCTCAGAGAACAATGAAATAGTGTCACAATTGCACACAAGAATAAAAACGAACAAATTTAGTGAAATGATAATTAATTACAGAGTAATTAAAACATGTCTGATCTTTATTTAATTATTTATCTAATTAATTATAATTTCACAAAAATTTGTCGAATCAGACGCAATGCGTTTTGTAATCTTAAACATAAAATCAATTAATTAACATTTTTTAATTAAATTTGAATTAAATTTTTTTCTAAATATAAACTAAATTTAAATTAAATTTAATATCTGTAGTTTAAAAACATCAACGTCGTGTAATGGTTTTTCGTATCATAGAAGATGTCTTTTAAAAGACAGATTAAAATTTTTATCAATGCGCTTACCTCTTTTTTCAAAATCGGTACGCGTTAAAAAACCCCTTTGTCTCCATAGCATTAGCTTAAGGTGTCACAGCGCGACTTAAATGCTAATCGATAACGATCACGCAATATCGTAAACTTTTGGAAGTGCGCCTTTTGTTGAAAGGGAGGGTTACAGTGGAGTTCACGGTTTGCGTTCGCGGTTTCATCGTACGACCTCGAGCGGCTCCGTATCTTCGACATATTGGCATACAGGTCGCGTGTATACGCTGCGACAATATGAAGAAACATAAGCGCGCATACTCATCGGCCAGTGGTTATACGTATGTACATCGCAACATTTATGAGGAGGTCATCGGATGGCAAAAGAAAAAGAGTAATAGGTAGACCGAATAAAAGAAGGAGAGGTTAAGTGGGGGCGGTGTGTATGCGTGTGTAAGGTGTCTCCTCGCGAGTTGGGTGCAAGGAATAGCTCGGTTATTGTTGGCGGATGACACGAAAACACCGACGGTCATCAGGCGTATAAAAGTACGACGAATCTTACCCTGAGGCATCAGTCTCCTGGCGATCCTCTCGCAAACAAACATGGCTGGAAAGGTAAGGAGTGCTTAGTCGAAGTACACCAACTTGGATGATCGTCTAGTTTTAACTAGCTTTATCAATCGAATATTATCACTTAAAATCGTGATACGTTTCAATTTCTAACCAATCTGCATCAGATGTATTATTCCCCTTCTTTCCTTTTTGCATTTACTTCTCGATATTTCAATCTCTTTGTTTCTTCATATATTTCCCCCTTTTCCTTTTACTTCCACTATATTTGAAATAAACGTGACAAATCAGGCATCTAATACGTTTCAATGCTCTTAAATTTCAGCTCGTCGTATTCTTAAGCTTGGCGGTCCTTTCAAAGGGGGCGGTAATACCAGCGATACCAGCAGTGCCTGCACCTGTGGTAGCAGCAGCGAAACTTGAAGATTTAGATGCTGCACCTCAATATAGTTTTGCATATGATGTCCAGGATGCTGTGACCGGCGATTCTAAAGCCCAATACGAGACCAGAAACGGCGACATAGTGCAGGGTAGCTACAGCCTGATCGAGGCAGACGGCACTCGACGTATCGTCGAGTATACGGCGGATCCCATAAATGGTTTTAATGCGGTGGTTAGCCGAGAACCAGCGACCGCTGTGGCCGCCATTGCCGCTCCATTGGTACCATACGCACCTGCTATCGCGCCTTCTGCGGCTGCTGCACCTGTTTTACCGGTAGCACCTGCACCAGCGCCAGCTATCCCAGCTAGCGGTCCAGACTCCGACGTTGAGGTTGTTGAGGCTAGATCTGGACCTCTCACAGCCGCTCCAACCACTCGCGAGGAACAGCTCCGACAACAGCAAGAACAGCAGCTACAACAATTGAAAGAAATTGAGAGGCAACAGCAAGCGCAACAACAACAGCAGTTACAGCAATTACAACAACTTCAACAGCAATCCAGACTGCAGCTACAACAGCAAATTCAGCAACGCCAACTGCAGAGGATACAGCAAGGGCAGGAAGCTCAGCAAGAGCAGGAACAGCAACAACAACCTCATCAACGACAGCAGCAACAAGGTGCACCAGTGAAAGCGCTTGCCACCCCAGTACAACTGGCGGCGAGAGCTCCACAACCTGCAAGATTGGTTAGTTTGCCAGCAGCCAAAGCTGTTACCAGTTACGCGAGTTATCCTAGTGCATATGCTTATACGGCCGCTTACTCGTCGCCCTTAGCTTATGCAGCGCCCCTTGGTGGTCTCACTTATGCACCCGCCTCCGCACTCCTCTGAAGTCTCTGTTTTTTTTTAAGATTGTTTTGTTATTAAGTCATGCCCGCCTTATTGACGAAGTCAACGAAGTTACAATAAATGTCTCTTTACAATGAATTATACGAAATCACCTGATTTGTGAATCCATTCAATTCCAGAAATTCTGAAATGTAGCTGTATGCAATTATTAAACATATTTACATTTCTTGCATATGTTAGGTTCGAAACGTTCTTCCACATAGCTTTGGGGAAATTATTACACTAGAGGAACTAGAATTCCTCGGTCGGTTATAGTAGATGCACAAACACAGTAAACAGACTTTTTAAGTATGTCTTTCAAGACAAATGTATATATATTATGTACTGAATCTGTTTCATCAAGAAGCCTTTAAAAAACTAGTTCCTTGTTTTCACATTCTACGAATATACAATTCCAAGAGAGCACAAATTTACGACGTATTAAGCAATCCTTCAAAAGAAATGTCTTCTGTCCACTATTGAAACATTTTTAACCAGTTAATAAGGTATCACAAATCAAAACAATTATCTGTACACTACATTCGATGAAACTTGTAAACAAGCATCCACTATAGGACTATATATCTTCTTCGGTAATACTTCGTGGAATAGTAACACCACTGGTATTTTCGCAAAATGATAACGTTGTTTCAGACACGTGGACACATTTTTATTCCATGCAGCATGGCGTCTCGTGCCGCGATCGTTGCACCGTGGATAAACGGGAAGATTTATTATTCAACAGGGTCTGGTTTTCTTTCTGGATTACGTGCAGAAGCTCGTGACGGGGCCAGTGTCCTCGTAATCTCCGTAGCCCCGGCACAATCGATTACGTCGCCACGACCTACGTGACCGTGTGTAGGCGTAATAAGTAAAAGCGTCGCGAATAACGTCGATCAATGTCACAGACGTACGCGGATCGATCACTCGTCACGTTCATCCGCGCGAACTTCGATTCATCGCACTCGATTACCGTTACGCAAGTCGACGTTGCGACGTCGCGAGGTCCTCTGTGTTTTACGCAAGAAACTTTACGTATGTTCGTTCGCACATGCGTACTCGCGACTCGACCTTCCACTACGTGCACGTAATAGACTAGGCGAATTGTATATACCTTGTTGCGTTGCATTTTTATGGAATGTGGTATAGAAGAGTTATTTATGGCGGATACTACTCTTTGTTCAGTTTCGAGATTATTACGTAATGTGTAAATGATATTCTAGTTTAAAGAGTGACAGGTGGTTGATATGTAATTATGATTATGGAGGGTGGAAACAAGCATAGTAGAATATTAAAAAGATCGTTCCAGATGTAATAGTGTTTTTAGTTTGAAGAAATACCGAAATCTTGATATAAAGGGAGTTTAAGGTTATATAATGTAATTAAATATGTACTTGTCGAATATGATTATCCCCATTTTACTTAAGCTGTGTAAATTAAGTATTCTAATTTAAATATTGATTTAATAAATTATGTAAGTAACAAGTTAATATGAGATAATATGAATTAATTTCAAAGTTGGAGCAGATTTCAAAATTTTATGAATATATTAGAATTATTTCGTTTTATCTATTGTTAAATTTATTTTTATACTTGATATAGAAGTATTAGTATTTATGTTTAAAAAGTATGTAAATGTCTTATGATATTGATGATTTATAGGATAATTTAATATTTCGATAAAAGAATAGAGTAATGAAATAGCATAGTATTTCTATAAGTAGTTTCGTCTTGTATATGTCAGGCGTATACAGTATACGACGATACACAGATATTTTTAACCAACTAATGTAATAAAAACTACGTAATATATACATTATAATAATATTATGAATTATTAAAATCTGTTACGTGTTATCTATAACCAAAATTTTGTATTTTATTAAGGAATTGAAGTTTATAATTATTATGTTTAAAATGTTGAAAATTTATTTTTATTTCATTTTGGAATATAATAATATTTTAAGTTAATAATAACATTTAAGAAATATTGATTTATTTAAATTATGATACAAATAGTATGTTATATAATTTAAATTCTAGTATTAATTTAAAAGTAAAATATATTTTTACTTTATTTAAAAATTATTTATTTCTATTTAAAATATATTTTTCTTTTTTAGAATAATCTGTTCGTTCTTGAATAACTATTTAGTTCTAAATAGTTCTATATCTGTTCTAAAAACTAATCGATCGTATAAAATTGTAAATAAAATTACCTACAATTTAAACAAACAATTAAGAATATTCACCTGCATTAAAAAGAAAATGAATATATTTTATTTCTGTTATTCTTTAACAACAAACGTTAAAAGCAAAATTAAACGTGCGATAGTCTGATACATTACCGACTATTACTACTGCAGCTCTATCTGATTATTATGAAATTCATATTAATCCTTACACTTTAATAGAATTTCGTATATATATGTAATGTTTCATTTTTATGTACTCACATATTCATTTAATTTGAATATAAGTGTGAATGACATACGCCACAATTTTTTTTACAAAATCAAATATATTAATTATGTTATGGTATAAATGATGTATTAATTTAATATATCAAAATTTTAATAAATCAAATTAACAGATACATTACTTTTGTACGTGACAAAAGCTGAACACATCAAGGACGCGATTTTTAATTGCAGCTTTAATTATCTGTAGAAAAAAAACTATACATCATTTTTAACAGTCACTATACAACGGGTATTTACACCAAATTAACACGTACACAAAGACATTTCGAAACACATTAAAGTCCTTATGTAATATTATGCAATATCTGTATAACACGTTTTCACTTTAAAATTATTTCACTTTTCTGGAATAACGGGTCACAATTGTGTCGTTGTACGAAGCAGCGATAATTTTGATTGACTTACGCTAATAGTAATGTAACACGTTAAAGAGGTATAAAATGAAAGGTAAATAAGGACGTTCTAGGTTCGAGAAAGAAAGGAAACGTTTTTTATACGCAGGTACGTAATATCTATCGGAGAGACCCTATCCTAGAATAAATTAATCAACGAGTTGCTATATATTTTAAATAATTTTTTCTTATAAATCGCTATTTCTTTAAAGAAAAATGGTTCTTGTTTCCGTTTTACTGAAACTTGTATATTGAGCGATAATATTTATAAGAATGTTACTTATATTCAATCTCAATTGAAATGTCAAAATATTATTCTCAAATGGATTAATTAAACATACTTGAAAAATTATATGAAATTAAAATATCAAAATACTTAAATTTTTTTCCAATAATTTATAAGTATCGAAAATATCGAATTGAATAAAATATTATTACAGTTGTAATGAAATACTATAGAAATAAATTAAAAGCCTTTACAGATATAGTCACTGATTATGTAGTATCCACAGTGTATCTTCATATACATGAATTTACACTGACCTTATGACCTTAAGAATAATAAGTTTGTGAAACTCTTTATTTATCGCATTAAGAGTCAAGAATTTATTGTATACATCTATATAAATCATTAACACAAAAATTCATTTTTATCTTATATAATATATCAAATTTAAGCAAATACATATATCGTAAATGTTTCTTGAGATACAAAAAGTATAGAAAATTAAAGTACCAAATATTTTGATGAAATTAATAATCGCCATAACTTAAATTTTAACAATAAACTATTCATTTATTGTACATAGAAACAGAAGTTTAAAATGAAATATATTAAATACTAAATATTGAAACGAGCAATATTATAATAGTAAGCATAAAAATTGGAATTTGGAACTCCTAATCCCTTACAATCAGAAAAAACAATAAAAACATTTGCAGTTAATAATAACCGAATTAAATCGGTTTGGAAAATCCTGTGACTGCAACTTAACATTTCCCATTTTAAAGTATTATATAATTAATTACATAATAATTACATTTTCCACTTGTACCATTTTATTCGCTACTATTCATCTAAATAAACATCCAAAAAACGCATTATAATTATATATAATAAAATTTGTCATTCGCTCGAGAACCAAGCGAATATGCGATTAAAAATCTCTCTATCCTAACTGAACTACACAAAGCAACAAAACAAATGTTTACAGGTGAGTACCATAGTGACTAAGGTACAAGATTTCAAGAACTAATGGAAAAATGAAATGACGGTGTACGTGGAATGAAATGAAACGTCAACGAGAAACGAGATCATCGGATATAGCGACGAATAAGAACGTCGTCGAAGAATAAACACGATAAAATATGGCCGAAGGATAAAGTCGCGAGATACCGACGAAGGACAACGTGATAAAACGCCAATGGAAAGTAACAGGCGATAAAATATTATCGACGTGTAGGACAATAAAAAAATTACAAGGATAGTGAACAGCGGCAATAAGCCAGCCCTTGGCCGACCTCGAAAGGGCCCGAGTGGTCTCGATTTTGCCGAATCGGTTACATACCTGTTCATACCGTCCAACTTTCACCGAATAAGCCAGGGCTGCAGCCGCGGCCGTCAAATTACCGCGCCCAATGTCACGATGTGGCTCCTCGTAATCGCGCCCCGTATTACGTGGCTTGCTACACAAGAAACCGGTTCACTTTTGCCGGACCGGTTGTGGAAAGAATTCGACCAAATGGACAATGTATCGCCTGCGGGTGGAACCCGAATCCGTATCCTTTTATCGATTTCAATTAAACCGTGAAACTATTTTTACCTATCTCTTATACCGTGCATTGTTTGTTCTATGACTTTACAGATGACACGCGTTTCTTGCTGCTACTCGAGCATCCCGGCGACTGAACAAGCAGTCTACTCGAGAGGGACCATTTGATACCGTTGCGAGTTTCTCGGTGAAAGATGAGGTGTGTCGTTTGAGTGAAATTTTTAAACGCTCGATCCGCGAAAGTTCAAGGGTAACGTTTTAAGTGGTAAAAAATGGCGAATTTGTGAATTCGTGCACCGGTACTCTTTGGAGATCTCTGTTTCTATAAACACTCGTTGTATTAGTAGGTCCATTAATGGATTTATGAAGCATGCTAATTAGCGTGGATATTAATTAATATATACCGAAAATAATCAGAGATAATAACGTTCAAGAAGCAGCGATTTTATGAATTCATGCATCGGTTCTCTTTGGAGATCTCTCTTTTTATAAATGTTCGTTATCTTAGCAGGTACATTAATGGATTTATGAAGCATATTAATTAGCGAGGATATCAATTAATATATTCCGAAAATAACTGAAGAGAATAACATTTGTGCAAAGGTTACGATAGTTTAATAATCGGGAGAAGAAAATTTCGATGATCGAACGTTTATGTGAAATCGGTATTTGTGGTTCGATTGGCATTTTGATATTCCTTGTTTTTTATGTTTTTGTTTCGATTTTTTTATTTTTATCTTTTGCAACTGACATATTTCGATAGATTTTAATTCAGCGATTTCTGCATCGCAACTTGGAAGCTGTAGCTAAAATTGTATTCGGATAGAGACTACTAAGAAGATTTTTCATGATATTCGTGAAACGTTTTAAGTAATAATTGAGAATAAGATTATATATGTATCTAAAATATTATTGCGGAGTAAATTTTTTTGCAATTGATACAGATTATCGGAAATGATAGTCTTTTGAATTACACTATAAACAATATGGAATCTGTTCAAGTTAATAATGATTTAATTAATTTTTTATTTAAAACCGTGTCGTTAAAATTCGACTTCATAATTTTTCCCATGATATACGTGCAATCGATTTTTCAGTAACAATTATCCCTCTTCTTACTCTATTTCTGTTTCATTTATCAAGACTGATCAACTTTAATTATTTAAAAAAAAAAATATAACTAATTACTATAAACTGCAATGTACAGGGTATTCAATTTAAGTCGACGCAATGAAAAATCTCATAAATAACTGATTTTAGAAAAATTATCAATCGCGTGTCTTTTAGTATTCAATACTTTTGTTATTTTGCGTCTCGAGTAATGTCTTTCTAAGAAATTTTTCGTCGCGTCAACTTAAATGGGAGGTCAACTTAAAAGGTCAACTTAAAAGGTCAACTTAAGGTGTTTTATATAACACATTAAAGAAATGAAAAATTTGTCATCCATATGAAATACAAATAAAAATAAAATTCTTTAAAATGTATGATAACATAATCGAGATCGAAATATCTACGAATTATTATTATTATTATTATTATTATTATTATTATTATTATAGATGTAGGAAAGAATACGAGTTTCGAGTTAATTTCGGGAACATTTTGGAAGAAGACAAATTTTGAGGTTAGGTTAGGTTAAAATAAAGTTAATTTTGGGAAGAATTTCGTGGAAAAATTAAAGAATTTGGGAGGAATTTAGGAAGAGATCTAAAAATTGGAGAAATGAACTGGAACAAATAAGATCGTTACGGAGGTAGGAAAGAATACGAGTTTCGAGTTAATTTTGGGAACATTTGGGATGTTGCATGTCAAACAAATTTCCATTCGACTTTCCATTATCTTCAACGATCTGTAAAAATAACTAAATTTACCTCTTCCACAATCAAATCCCACCGAATTCAAAGACCGTTTTGGCGTAACTTTCGATAGATTTATACGTAGATAGACTTGTATTGTAAAACGAATGTGAAAGCACACGGTTCCGATACCTCATTGCGAGCAATCAATCGCCGGTTGATAACCGAGTCACGTAAACAGTAGAAACAACTGCAGGTGCTATCGTGACTGGGGTATGCCTTTCTTCTATGGATTAAAAGGTTACAAGGCGTTTCTGCGTACACGACAATGAGAAACCGATGCGTATATTACAAAAAGGCGGATTCCCTCGTTTCCACGCATTTTTTCTTCTTTTTCACCTGATAATTCGCCCATTGGAAGTAATTAAACTACGTAATCGGAATCTCATTTGGCCAACCACGCGCATAAATTATCATACATAATTATAATCACGTAACGCGATTAATTGTGAAACGATTGGTCTCAAAAGTCCCGTCGCATACTAATGTCTATTGAAACTTCGAATATAATCTATTCTTTCCCCGAATTAAACGGAATTTCCCGAATCGATTACTTCCCTGGAAGAATATCATTCGTCGTTCACAGTGATCTTTTTTTCCACGGTAATTTCCGTGGAACCAAATCGAAAGGTTTCAGAATACGTTCGTCACCGAAAAACTTTATCATTCTGGTTCACTTCTATTACGCAATCATTTAAATCGAGGACGGGAACTCAGACGCCTTTCTCCCATGGTAATGGATTCGAGTCCGTGTGATCGAGATGAATTTCGGCGTACATATTTACCGTTCGTTTTCCTCGTTACCAAGCTCGTTGATGTTCGACATGCATCATTGATTTTACCAAATTCCCGATTCTCGCATTCTTTCATACTTCTATAACGATTTGTTCCAGCTCATATTTTCAAAGTTTTTAGACCTTTTCCTAAATTCTTCCTAAATTCTTCAACTTTTCCACGAAATTCTTCTCAAAATTAACTTTATTTTAACCCAATCTAACCTCAAAATTAGTCTTCTTCCCAAATGTTCCCGAAATTAACTCGAAACTAGTATTATTTCCTACCTCCATAACGATCTTATTTATTCCAGCTCATTTCTCCAATTTTTAGATCTCTTCCTAAATTCCTCCCGAATTCTTTAACTTTCCCATGAAATTCTTCCTAAAATTAACTTTATTTTAACGTAACCTAACCTCAAAATTAGTCTTCTTCCTAAATGTTCCCGAAATTAACTCGAAACTCGTATTCTTTCCTACCTCTATAACAATCCTATCTGTTCCAGCTCATTTCTCCAATTGTTAGATCTCTTCCTAAATTTTTCCCGAATTCTTTAACTTTTCCACGAAATTCTTTCCAAAGTGAATTTTATTTTAACGTAACCTAACCTCAAAATTAGTCTTCTTCCCAAATTTTTCGCGAAATTAACTTTTGTTAACTTTAGCTTTCTTCCCAAATACTTCCCAAATGTTTGGTAAAATTAATTTTAACCAGTCTCGAAATTTACAATAAATATCCTTCTCAAACTCATTTTTGAAGCTTGAAATTTACAGCAAATGGCGTCCTATCTTGGTCTCGAAAGTCTAGGTTAACGTGCGACGTTTCTTTCTCGAAATTAATCCAAATAGATTTGCATGCGAATAAACGGGTAAGATATTAGGAATAGGAATGGGACTTAAACGGTTTGCTCAAAAAATAAAGCACGTAACATTGCTTTTGCCGGTTTTCGTGGATGGGCGTGATCCTGCGCGACGATTCGGGCAACAAAAGTTCTACAGTGTAGAAATTTGACGATGTTGACGCGGGTTGCCTGGTGCTCGTGAAAGAGTACGAAAGTAGAGAAAGTGGGTCAATCCTGGCGACCACCAGAAATAGCTTGACGATCGAGCAACGCGAAATTGAAACGCTACCCTGTGCTCAAGGTTACGCGATCGCATTATTCTACATTCCAAGGAGCACACTGTGACTAAGTACCTTTCCACGCGGAATAAACCAGGTAACCAACAAGACTCGACTAACTTCTTTCTAAAACCTGTTTTCCTTATAGTCTTGTTTTCCACCAACAGTCCCTATACAACGTTAACACTAAATTGACATTAGCTAAAACGTTATAACAAAAGTCAAGAAGCACTAGTACTATTTACTAATTACTATACTAGTTACTGTACTAGTTACTGATAGTAATTACTATCAGCTTCGTATAAAAACCAAAGGTGACTACATATTTTCAGCAACTGGAAAAATAACGAGTCATTTTAACCCTATCGCTCTTAATACAGTAACACTGGCATTGTAGCAGTGTTAGTATCGTAGTATCACTTTAAATAGTAGCCATATTGGCAATTAGTGCAAGATCTCAGTAACTCCACCGTGTATTCGTATACTCTCTTCTTCCTTATCTTTACACGTCGTTTAAATCAAATTAAATCGAATAACACGAATGCGATACAAGCTTCGGATCGAATAATACATCCGTGAAAAGAGGAGCCGGGTCAAGAAACAAGAAATAAGAGGTAAGAAACAAAAGGCAGAGAGGTAGAATTTGTAACGAGTTTAATCGGTCACAAAGAAGTCTGCTAAAAAAATAAATAAAAAGGATTCAGCCTGAGTCGACAGCATTGTGGGCAAGACACGGGTGACGTTTAGAGGTAGTGTGCGGGAGAGGCGTAGGTAAGAGTAGGGGCGGCGATCTTGGCGATGGGTGCTGGGTGCGCGGAGTAAGCGATGGGCGCTGGATGCGCGGAATAGGCGATGGGTGCCGGGTGCGCGGCGTAGGCGATGGGCGCTGGGTGCGCGGAATAGGCGATGGGCGCTGGGTGTGCTGAGTAAGCGATGGGTGCAGCGACCTTGGCGACAGGGGCTGTGTAGGCGATAGCTGGGGCATGGGCGACCGGGGTGGCGATCTTGGCAACTGGAGCCGCGAGGACTGGAGCAGACGCGGCGTAGGTCAGGGGTGCAGCATAGGTTTTGGCGACTGGGGCGGCGTAGGCTACTGGAGCAGCTTCGACGTGGCCTACGGCTTTCACAGCGACGGCAGCTGGTTCCTTGCGGACCACTGCGTTGAATCCGTTGACTGGGTCAGCGACATAGTCGACGGTGCGTTTAGTTCCGTCAGCATCGATGAGGGAGTAGCTACCCTGGACGACGTCTCCGTCACGGGTTTCCTGTTGGCTCTTGGCGTCTCCGGTCAGGCTGTCGTGGACGTCATAGGCGTAGCTGTATTGAGGATGAGGATCGTAGTCAGCATCGACGGTCTTGGCTACCACTGCCTTGGCTACCGGAGCAACTACTGCCTTGGCTACGGGGGCTGCTACTAGAGGAGCAGAGTAAGCCAATGGAGCTCCTGGAGCATAGGCCAGATGTTCCGCCGTGCGTAAAATTCCGGCATTGGCGGCTGCCACGAAGGCGACGAAGATGATGAACTGGAAGAGCAAATAGATTAGTTAGCTTTCTCGATGATGGTAAGACTTGGTGATCGTTATACTCGCGGACGAAGTAGTTTGTAGGACCGGTATAGTACTCGGAGTTCGAACGGATTTGATCTTATTGACTACGAAGTAATCACATAAGTCGATCCTTTACCCACCTTGAATGCCATTGTTGAGAGGATTTGGTTGGTTTGGATCGTCTGAGCGACTGATGATGCCCAACGTTATTTCGGACTGCTTTATATACCAACGATCGGCCCGCTACCATTATGCTCCCCACCAAATTCTTCAGGTTTTGCCGGACTTTCAAAGTTTGGTAGCAGATCGCATCAGCGTTACCGCACTTGAACTTGGCCCGTACATGGGAGTAGTATTCGTATGGTACCATATGTTCACCCTCGATCGTGTTTTTTGATCTACTCATAGATGGGCTAGAAGCAAAGAATGTGTCGATATATCGTTTCTTCGCGATCGATATTATCGATAACGAAATTAACTTCTCATAAGACAGAGACTTGTCTTAATCATTTTTAGAATTGTTTTTGAAACGAGTAACATATTCGGTTGATATTCGATCGATCGATCGGTGACACTATTTTTCAGAGTTTTCCACTTTTTGTGATTCTATTATAAGGAAACATATCTTTGCGCGTTATGTAATATCGTAAGTGGCTTTTGGACTGAACAATCGGGGTCAGCTTTCCCGAATATCGTTGCGATACATCTTAAATTTGGAACAAAGATATTTAACGATATTTCGTGTTAGCAATTTAGTCAAGAGAACCTAACCTCTTCTAGAAAAGAGTGGTTTTATTATATCTTCACTGGGACTCACTCTAACTTAACAATTACAAAGGGATAATTATTTCTTTTTTCACTTTGCTTATTTTTATTCGTTTCCTTTTTCTCCTTATATCAAAATTTAGAAGGGTAATTTTAAGCTTCCGAAAGCCCATACATGCAAATTGAAAATAACAAAATAATGAAAAATTGTATCTATCGAAATTTCTTTCTTCGATAATTTATATTTTTATTCGATGTCAGACTATCGCGTAATATTAATATAATGTAAAATCCAATCATCCAACAATCCTGAAGAATTAATTAATTTCCGTTAACCTTTAATAAACGTAATTTACCATTTTCTTTACATCTGCTGTTCTTGTGTATTCTCTTGTGTATGCATCTCCTTTTCCTTACAACGATTTTCAGCCGCAGACAGCACAGACTGTGCGAAATTCCGCCTTTAGACATTGTCTGGTTCAACGATCTCTGGCAGGACATTTTTCGAATATAAATTAGAAGAAATACAGGAACAATCGTGCCAACGTTACACGTACCAATGTAGCTTGCTGATTTTAACGATTAAACTAGAACATCAGCCTCTATCTCGTTTATACTCCATAGTTATACTCCATTATACTCCATTTCAAGGAATGATCGATAATCCTAATCCTAATACTCCATGATGCTTCGGCAAACTTTTCCCAGATTGCGTTAGCCAAATTGAGGTACCTAACTCTCTATCATCTCACGAGCATCAGAAGCATCGACTCTTCCTTCACGAATTCCGCTGGAAATAAAGCTGTGGGTATCATTTCAATTTGGAGAACGCTCGTATTCGCGATAAACCCAATGCTCGTTGAAATTCAACGGTATCGGGTGCAAATCGATTTTCTAAATTTCTCCGAATTTCGAGAGCAAACAAGACCATGAAAAGGAGAGGAACAAGAAAAGGAAGAGGACGGAATCGGCTCGATACCAGCTGGTCGCGAAACTTTCGAGCAATACGTGTCAGGCTCGTTGGATCCCGATCTACCTCGAACGTTGCGTCACATCTAACGTTACCAGGGAACAGAAGTGGAGCACTTTCATAAAGAAAAAATAGGCGGGCCAGGCCAAATCGCGAAGCCCACCTCAATCGATCGGTAGCCCCGGGCCATCGGAGAACCGTACCGATCCTGATCCAGAATCAAAAACCTCCGCCTTCCACGGCTCTCGGCGAAGCCTTGCCCGAAACGCTATTGTGTACTTCGTGTGAAATCAATGTCACAACTCGAATTTAGGTCTTCCGCACTTGTTGCGCACTGGTCGTTGGAATTTTATTGCCTCCTCTATTCCTGTTCTTTCTGCGACCGACTGCTGTTTCGTATCATTTCGCCTAGCTAATTGCGCGAGTGCGGGGAAATCCCTCGCGTGGCCTTCGAAATGCCTAATGCTTGCTTCTTTCATAATCAAAATTCGTCTTTTCATTTCCTCAATTTTTTGAAATTTCCCTTTAAGTTCGGACGTCGATTTTAATGTGTTTTATTCCAAGCAAAAATAAATGCTTTAATCTTCTTTGAGTTTTCACGAAAATTAAATGCTTTAATTATGTTAATAATAAGAAGAGGAATAAATTTCGTTTTCCTTCTTCTTCGAACACCCAATTCGAATTTATTGGATCCTTTTTTGAGTACCAAAACGCAGAAGTTATTGATGTATTTTGTTAGTAAAAATGAATGTTTTAATTGCTGTAATGGAGTACTAATTTTCTGATTTTTCGTTTAAATGAAAAATTCGATTTTGTTAAATATTATTTTAGAAAAATAATCAAATAAATTTTCTAATTTCTGTGATAGCGCATTTAATACTGTATTTTTTTTTAGATAAAACACTACTTTTTGACGCAGTTGCTAAAAAGTTGCAGTTGTAAAAGTTCAAATGTCTATGTAATTGAATTTTCTTCAGAATAAAAATGAATATTTTAATTCTTTTAGCAATCTATATAATTCTGATCGCGTCTAAACATCGATTTTACTGGATTTTCCTTTTTAAGATAAAAATCAATTTCTTTAATGAGGTGTTGAATTTCGTTTCTCTTTTTTGGAATAAGAAACCAATTTTTGAGACTGGTTAGAAAGCGCCTAAACGTCGATTTTATCACATTCTTTTATAGCATAAATGAATTTCTTAATTTTCTTAATGAGGTACTGGATCTTCTTTTTTCCTCTTTTCAAAATAGGGAATTAACTTAATTTTTGACCAAAGAGTCCAACCATCGTCTTTATTATATCTTTTTCAAAGTAAAGATAAACGTTTTAATTTTCATAATGCCATACTCGATTTTTTTTGTTCTTAAATAGGAAACTATTTTTTGGCATAGTCAGAATGTTGCATTTAAAATTGCGTCAATTTTATTGGACTCTTTTATAACAAAAATGAATATTTTAACATCCTTAATTGCATACCGAGTTTTTGTCGAAATAAAGAATTCTTTGAACTCGTTGATTGTTTTAACTGATTACACTGTAATCACACATAAGACCTTAAGAATAAATGAGAGTAAGAATATACGAATGTCAGAGTCTTCGTTTTACTCCTTTGTTCGACTATTCCAATATCTTTCACCATCATGCTGCACCTGGCCCTCTATCATGCTCTCATCAGTTTGCACATGACGACACAGGGACTTTATTATTACTATTATGTGTAATATTATCAATAAATATCTCTCACATACGAGTTATTCGTGAACTCGTCTTCCTAATCAATTTAATTTGCAAATTGTCGAATAAATGAAATAATAATTTACAATGAATATTAAAATTATTATTAATTCTTAAATGATTAATATTATAGTTATTATTATTTTTCCAGTAACAATTTTCAAATGTTTAGTAATATGCATTAATAAACATCGTATGTATATCTTCTATGAGGAAGAATATATTCTTTTTCGTCCATTAATTATATTCAACACGATATTTTAATTAAAATGTATACCAGACTGCGTCGATGAACAAAGGACTCGTCTAGACGAAAAAAGAAATTGGCATAGAGAGTCGACGGTAGCCAAGACGCTGCTAGTTTATGCCATTACGGGCGAGTAGCAAAAACAGCGTCGTTCTAATAAGTTGACATAATAAAAATTTCCCTATAGACATTAATCGTGCAAAATCCGATCAGCCTTACGTCATCAACTTCTTACATCACCTCTACGCAACCTCGTCCTCTTCTTATTTTTTCATACCGCGAGAAAACCAGTTGATTCCGCCAATTATGGAAGAACTCAAGGTCGTAAGATACAATTTTTTTTTTTGTACCACTGACCTATAGTAAATTCGGTATCAAATAATTCGCACGTTTGTGTTATAGGTAACGCGAACTCTTCTCGTGAAAGTCCGCCTTAAGCGCTGCGATCGCGGAAAAGTCGAGAAACATTTTCGACGCAAGACGATTTCAAATTTATCGAATAAAGTAGAATAAAATAAATTTTGGTAAATGTACGTTCTATATTTCTCATTTATTCCAATATTCTATTTTTACTATATTTTATTTTATTTTTACTATACTGCCATTATTATAGTAATTATTATAGTGTTTCATAAGGTGCTCCACGAGATGCTTAATATCTCTGATATTTTGTTTCATACCAATGAATTAATTATGACGTATAATATTGGATGAATATTTCAATGAATGAACGAAAACGAATTTTCGTAAAAGGATACGAAATTGCATTATAAGCTAAAATGGATGATAATAAAAATTGAGTATGAGTGTTTCGGAGTTCTTCTCGCATTTATGTTCTTGAAGACATCTTGACCTCGAATGTTACCGATAAATGAGAGAAAAGGAAGTATTTTATATTTTAATCTAAATGGATATCTATGGGAAATATTTAACCTTAAAAGTATACAAAAAAATCTATTAAAATAAAAAGTACAAAAAAAGAAAATATAAATTTTTTTATGTATGCTTATGTATAAATTGATCTGTTTACAGTTTATTCCCGTAATGATGTGTCCTGGGAGAGTACTGACATCTTACTGACTATAATTTATCATGATCAAGGTAATTACATTTAAGATTCTTGGAGTTCAATGCAAAAAGAAAAGTGTAATTACAGTAATTTAAATTGCATATTTTTCTCTTCACTTTTACTTTCTTTTGTAGGATAAGGTACACATATATACTTGCATCGACAGGTTGTGAAATACATGAGATACCCCAATTTTATTCAAAATTAGCATATTTGAAGGTATAAAAAAATAAAAGGTAATGAAATAAAATATTTGGCCAACCCCGTATGTTTCATTACATGAATAATTTATTTATTTTAAATAAGAGAAAATTTTTACAACATGGTTCACCAACTTTTTTTGAACTTTTTATTGAAAATCATTTCGTTATAGTTTCGAATAATTTATTTTAAATAAAAAAAAAATTTTGCAAAATGTTTTATTAACGTTGCCAGATTTTTATTAAATTAATTACGTTAGTACGTATTATTCTTTCCATTGTAGATTTAATTAATTAAATCACTAGAAACATTGTCGTAATAATTATATCCTAACTAAATTTTGTTTTAATTTTAAATAATTCAAATAAACGTTGAAATTAGGTTCTATGTAATAATTATTAATAATTCAACGTTAAATAAACCATTAATTTAGATGGCAATGAAATATCTGCATTTCGATCATTATGATGTCGATAAATGCTTTTATAATATAAAATAAATCCTTATATAAATATAAGATAGACACTTTCACAATAAAATTATTATATTCAAGAATAGTGAAGACAAGTATAGTATAATAAAGAAATGATTATAATTAGACTATGTATATTAAAAATAAATATAGTGTGTAAAAAATAAATATAATTTTCTATTAAAGTTTATATAAAATAATTCTATAACAAATGATTTTTATTATTTCATTTTTAATTTAAATCATTTAAACGTATAGTAATTTCATTATTAATATAATCTATTTAAAAATCGGTACATATTTCATTCTTGAAAAAATCTAACGACACCAAAAAGAATCCACTAAAGTACATAAATGTCTTTTAAATTTTCTTTATCTAACAAAATTTATTTAAAATTTAATTTAAATTTTGTACTATTTTATCGAAGGTTCATAATAATGAAATATATCAAATAAATTGGCATAAAGATCCAATAATAAATGAATATATTGAAAATAATCAACAAATTCAAAAAATGAAAGTAGTTGAGTATTTATTTAATTTCTTTAATTTATATCTCATGTTCGGTGTTCACAAAAAAATGAAAAAATACAACGAAAATATAAATAGACAACACATAAATATACAATAAATATAATAAGTATAATGTATATATATATATTTATATATATTATATTTATAATAAATATAAATATACAACATACAAGTTATATTATTTTACCTGTCTTCTATACGTACTTTACGTTACTTTAAAAGTAATTGCTAACGCAGAAAAGGTATAGGGAAGAAAACTGACAGCGTTTCCCTCGAAGAGAAGTCCAAGGGAGGATTAAGTAACTCGTAGCAAGGACGTGGCCTAGTCGATGAAGACGATGTTCACGATGGTCCAACAGCTATCGTCGTTGATCGAATTATTCGTGTTGGGCGTGGTCCGATTTCTTGCTCAATTTTGTGCCACTCTACGGCCGCAAATCGGGTGACCGTCGAAGGTACCGTCACCCAGTTACGTCAGCGCGCCCGTGGGTCCTGGTTGCGCGGTATAAAAGCCGAAAACCACCCGCCTGTGGTATCATTCGCATCACAGACAGACAGATCGAGAGATCTACCAAACAAGCGAGCTACAATGGCCTTCAAGGTATTACCAACTCAGGAATACTAGTAACTTGTTTCAAGGGTACTTTTAAAGCTTACCTCTCGATCATCGACGTGTACCACGATGCATGATAACACAATTTTTCCATACTTATTTCACACTTATACTTGATATTCTTTCGACAAAGCTCGCTACGATATAGTGTAATTATATTTTTCTTCGTATTTTTGATTTCTTCAGTTTGGACGCGTAAAAATGTCCAATGCCTCTAGTGTCTTTTTGACTAACATTTTTTTATTCTACGCTCATGGTTGAAAGTGGAACGCACGTCTACGTTCCCAATTTCGATAACCCTACGTGTACGACTTGGTAACGCCGCTTTCATCAGCTTCTCGAGAACCTTAGAAATTAAAGAACATCTACGTTGATAAAGTAGAATTCTGTATAATTTGAAATTAAAATAGTCTACTTGATAATATTATAACAAACCAATTCCAACTAAAAAATATTTGTTTACAGTTTGCTATCTTCGTCGCCCTCATAGCAGCCGCCAATGCCGGAATTTTACATTCGGCGGAACCTCTGGCCTATGCTCCAGCAGCTCCGTTGGCTTACTCTGCTCCGCTAGCAGTAGCAGCCCCCATAGCCAAGGCAGTAGTCGCTCCAGTAGCAAAGGCAGTGGTAGCCAAGGCCGTTGATGCCGACTACGATCCCCACCCTCAATACAGCTACGCCTATGACGTCCACGACAGCCTGACCGGTGACGCCAAGAGCCAACAGGAAACCCGCGATGGAGACGTCGTCCAGGGTAGCTACTCCCTCATTGATGCTGACGGGACCAAACGAACTGTCGACTACACCGCTGATCCAGTTAACGGATTCAACGCAGTGGTTCGTAAAGAACCAGCTACCGTCGCTGTGAAAGCCGTAGCCGCCCCAGCTCCAGTAGCCTACGCCGCCCCAGTTGCCAAATTCGCCGCTGCTCCAGTTGCGTACGCCGCTCCAGTTGCCAAAGCCTACGCTGCTCCAGTCGCCTACGCTTCTCCAATTGTCAAAACCTATGCTGCTCCAGTTGCCTACGCCGCACCAGTTGCCAAAACCTACGCTGCCCCCCTCGCCTATGCCGAACCAGCCCATGCTTTACTCCATTGAATTCGATCTGTTGTCTTTAGGAATAATGTCTGTCGAATAAAGTACGGTTTTTTTTAGCAATATATGAAACGATTGTACTATTCCTTTTCATTTTTTCCATATATTCTGCTACTTCGTTTTGCTCTTGTGTTAACTTTAATACGTTCTTCATTGTACCTTTTCAGTAACGAGACGCTTGACAAGTGTAAGTATAGCAAATATTCGCCGATGACATTGGTACGCGTGACAAATTAATTGTTTATTTTTAACGCGTATGATGTTATAAAATGGAAAACTATATTTTCAAATTTTATTAAAACCACTTTAAGATCATCATATGTACATAACTATCATTCATTTCTAAACCAATACCTTACAAATAATTAACTAAATGGTCACAATATACACATGTTTTAATACGTTTTATTTTATAGCTGACAAAAAGAAAGTAGATTATTTAAGTACAACTTCAGTTCATAATGCTAAAGAAACTAAGCAACCACAAAATCGTAATAATAGGTACTTGACATAACTGTGTTACATTTGTAAAATACAATAAAAAATGATGCATAATTTCAATAAAAGACAGCTTATAATAATTTCAATAGAACAGCTTATAAGAAATGAGCATTGAGTGAAAGTATTTATATGAGAAAGGATAGTATTTCTAATATTGCAAGTCTTATACTCGCTTTTATTATTCGTTAAGAAGGCTGCTTTTCATTAACAATTCACGGACAGACGTTGGTCTCCAACACTTTCTCTGCCAGTGCCAATGTTGCTGATTACACAATATAACCACGCCTCATATACATCGTTCGTGTGTAATGCACGTAATGCGAGTCGTTGCGATAATCGAGAACACCGGGCAAACCAGATCCGAGCAATGGTGCAAACCTTGATCTACTTATGATCTGGCATACTGTATTTTGTAAGCATTTTTATAAATTTATTGAGCATATTCATAATTAATTATAAAACGATAGTTAATTGTCGTGTCCATAAAGAAAATGTATACGTAATTAAATAGTTTTCTATTATTAAATAACTAAATTACATAAATAAAAAATTGCTTCCTCATTTTTACTCACCTACATTTATACATAACGAAAGAACAATAAGAATAAAAAAGGTGAATAAAATTTCCACTTCCAATTTTATAAAAGCAGGTATAATATATGTTGATCAATTTTATTTAACAAAATTATTATTACAGATATATTACTTTTACGTACAAAAATATAGTTATCTTGCACGGTTTACATACCTGCGTGCATTTATTTGTAAATACACTTTCAAACGAGATGAAAAATAAAAAACTATATTTACTTTTATGTAAATTAATTAAAATTTATCTTTATAATATAGTTTTGTAATGCTACCTATTACAATTTTTCTTTAATATTTACAAATTACATTAGTAACGTTAATAATACAATAGCATAAACATGTTACTTTTTCTTAACCTAATTATTAAATATCTTGTCTTTTAGTTAATATAAACTATATTAATATATTTCATATAAAAATCAAAAATAATGGTAGAAATCATTCTTTTAAGTATTAGTTTGTATTATACTTTTTACTCTTGATTTCCTCTTTCTGGTGGGGCTAACCTAGAAATTATTATGCATAAATACATAAATATAATTAAATACAAAACTCATCTACTTTATCCGAATTATATTCTAGAAATATGAGTTGATTAAATTTAAATTATATTACTTTAATTATAATATTATAATAAAATTTTATTATATTCACATTGAACTTACTTATGAATAGTTACATAATCTTCTGCGAGGACATTAGATGTATCTAAAGGAGTTAAAAATGTAAATTGACTTTGTGGATGCGTTTTAGTATGATCCAAAAGAATATCCATTATGATCCGACGATTTACCTTGTCCTAGTTAAAACATCAGTTGGTGACTATTATATCAAATATTGAATATTATACACAAATTACGCAATTATAATATTTATAGTATAATATTTTACATACCATAAATACGTCAAATTCATCAAGAAAATAAAAAGGTAAACCAGTACAATCCCAAAGAGCTAAGATAAAAGCAACGGTCGAATACGACCTTTCACCACCTGATAATGATCTTGCATCATTGATTGATTTACTACTGTCACTTGAATGTACTTCAAGTTCAAGTACTCTTCGTGCGTGATCAATATTTATAACACCCTGATAGAAATAAATTAAAAGATGTCATAAAAAATAACTATTCTTTTTCCTTAAATAAACACTTAATTATACATACTTTTTTATTTCGCAAAGCGAGCACGTTTGAAAATGAATTTTGAATATTATTTCCATACATATGTTTCATGTCCAAAAATAACTCTTTCCGAGTTTGTAGTCGTTTTAGATGTAACTATGATATATAGATACAAATGTAAATACTCTAATAAACAATTAAGTAACAATATGCATTAAAATGTTATAACCTACTTGATAATTCTTTTCAATTTTGGAAATCAAATTTATATTTTTTCCACATTTTGCTTCCTTTTCTTTTAATTCCCTATGTAATTCTTCAATAGTACCAAACTGTCGTTCTATTTCATAAATTTTATGTTTTAGATCTTTAAATAATCTTTCAAGTTCATTAACTGATCTGAAAAAATATAAAGTATTTTATAATAATATAGATTTTAATATTTAATACCATAGGTTTTTAAAAATTTTTGTATTTAATACATAAGGTGTCATTTTGCTAACCTTGTCATATCTATTCTATCACAACGATTCCTAGCATTACATACTGCTTTTTCAGTACATCTTCGTTGTTGTTCAAGCTCTGCTGTTGCATTCTGTAAAGTTTGGTGTACTGTTTGCAGTTTTTTTGCAGCACGTCGAGCCTTTGCATGCATCTCTTCTTTTTCATTTTGCAATTCTTTTATACTTTCCTACATAAAAAATAGTTAACACATTTAATGCAAATATAATTAAAATAAATCACAATTTGTGTATACCTTTAAAAGATTAATTTTTGAATCTAGACTTTGTCTTAATTCTCTATGGCGTTTAACTTCTTCCTCTAAATATTCAACTTTTCTTTGAAGTTCGAGGACACTGCCATTTAAACTTGATTCTTCATATTTTTCTTGATGTAATTTTTTTTCTAACTCGCTTAATTCATTTTTCTATATGAAATAAAATTAAAATTTATATAATGTTTAAATATTGATTAAAAAACATATATATTTAGGTATAACTTACAAACACAGTCACAGATATAGCTTCATTAGCTTCAATTTCATCTTTTAAATCACTAATTGATGCTTTATATTGATTTTGAATAGCATGAAGTTTTGTGACCTTTGCACTAACAGAACTTAATTCAGAACTCATGCGTTTTTCTTTTTCACAAGTTATTCTATATGATTTTATGATATTACATTTTTCATTTTCTATAACACGAATCTCTTCTTCCAGTGCACTAATCATAAAAAGAAACTTTATGACATTTAAAACAAAAAATATTATAACACAATACATAAAGAAAATCATACTTAATAGCATCTGTAACAGAAACTTGAAGAAATTTAGCTTTCAAGCCTCGTGGACCACCATAACTTCTGTAGTGTGGATCTGGAAAAAACGTATCACCGTGTTGAGTGAACGTTCTTTTACAGTTTCGTGGAACTTTGGTACCATCAGACATGATTTCAGCTGCTTCTTTACTAGTTGGAATTAGTAAAACGCATTCAACTTCACGTTGATCGATTAAACAATTAGCAACAATGGGATCTGATATATCCATTGCGTCCAAAAGATTAGAATAACGTGATGAATTGACACAATGAGCACGAACATCATGAATCTAAAATTACGTATTATATATCTACTATACTATAACATATAGTATATTATATTATAACACAAATTTTGTAAAGTAAGTTTCTTACAACATTATAAAATTTACTGCATATGATCTGTGGAGTTCTTTCATTTAAATAGATTTCCCTCATAATTGCATTCAATACTTTAGCATCATGACTATTATCTACGCAAAACGTACTAAAAGTACTTGCTCCCAAATAGTGTTCAACA